AAGATGATTATAAAAAATATATATGTTTTTAATTTTCATACTAGCCAACTCCCTTTCCCTAGTTAAAATGAATTAGGCGCACTTAAAATAATCTTCCGGTTCCACTTGAATGTTGAAGGGAGAAGTAAATGATAGAACTCCTTAAAATTGTCTACTACATACATGAAATTTTAATCAAACAGTTTCATAACTTAAAATAACTTTTAACTTAACATAACTATTCACATCTCTTACCCACCTAATATTGAAATTACCTACGTAATCTATATTGTAAAGCATTTAATAAAAATGTCACTAGAAAATGTTAAATACAATTTCATTATGGATGTAAAGTGACAAAAAGTAAGTATTGCAAAGCAAGATATCTGCAACTGTCAATACAAGATAGATTGAACTGAGGACACAACAATGATTAGTATTGCCCTCACGAATTGCTCCAATTTAGCTCTGTGTCGCATTGAAGTCCGGATGTCCGCCTCTTTATAAATTAGCCATATTGATCTTGGAGTATCTTATAAAGTCTTGGTGTATCTTGAAACTCTAGGAGGAGTCTATAATAAAAATTAAAGTCTTCGGGTTTTATTTGTGTTCTAATAGAACCCTAAAGTAAGGCTTAAATAACTGTCTCCCTCGGTTCACAAACTGAGTTTTATTCCAAATAAGAAAGACGTTTCTGAGTTAAGGGATTGTACGATTTAAATTAAAAGTTTTAAGGTGTTATCGAACCATCGCATAAAGCCGTTGACATTTGCAACCACTTACCGAGTTATCTGACATTAAATATAACTTTAACAGTTGTTACGTTTCATTTTAAACTGTCAAGACAGTTTTTAATGAAACCTATGTGATCAACAAGAATATGATTTTGAATGATTCTGACACGGGTTGGAACTCATAATTATAAAAGAGAACAATAGTTTCAAGGTATCAAGTGTCATGCTTTTATTGGTGATTTTAAAGCAGGGTGATATAACTGGAGTGACACTTTATCTTAAAAGTGTCCCCCTAGTTTTGAAACGTATCTTACAAAATGTAGTAACTACTAATATAATCTGTAAGTAATTATTAACATATGGATACCGTATGTGTATAAATAAATACCTTTTCCTACAGTTACCTAACAATGTACATGTTCTCTCACTGATTTGAGAAAGCAAAATGGCCAATTCGTTCATCAGTGATACAATGTTAACATTGTCTCACTCTAATTACTTTGTCTCACTCCAGATTTGCAACGTGAAGGCACGAAATAGTAAGCGCGGAACTTGCACGCAACGTCGTATGCGCGCGAAATACGTTGGCAGCACTGGCTGTAAATCAGCTGGTCAGCTGTTCTACTGTTGTATTTGTCACTTCACATTAAATGTTATATTTAAAAGTTCACTTCTGTGTAAAAATAGGTTATGTTTCTTCACCAATTTATTTGTTTTATGGTAACTGTAGGAAAAGTATAATGTGCAACTCGAGTTCAAAGTACAATTGCCTCACTCGAGAAACCATTCCTCACTCGCCTACGGCTCGTGAGTAAGGATTTCTCTCGAGTGAGTCAATTGCTCACTTTTCTCACTAGTTGCACAAATAACTGTAGTACGAATGTTTTTGATTTCGTTACAAAAATAGTATCCAATAATTGGACTACTTAGAGTGTAAAAATGTTTGGTATAAATAGTTTTTTACTTTCAGGCTAATTTATGCTTAGTTTAGATTTGCGAGTTTCCACAAGAATATAATGTTACAATAAAGAAACGTGTTGAAGTTTCTAAAATAACTTGCGATATAGTTAACGCTGAGGTCGTCAGAAAGCAAAGAAGAGGTGTTAAAAGAGCGACTTTGTCAGAGTGGCGTGGTCAGAACGCCTACACTGGCGCCACCATCTGTCACACTGAGATACAGCATGCATATCGCAGCTTTGAACACTTTTGGCGGGAAACACCGAGATAATTGGTCTCATTTCGCACATCATATGTCAGTATTATTATTATTATTATTATTTTTTTTTTTTTCAAAAATGTTCTATAATTATGAACATAAGTAGGGCCTACCTTCTTAACAGGTATTTTATTGTAGACGCTATTTTGTGAATATAATGACAAACAACAGATTGATGTATCATTACATATACTGTAAACATTATTTTACAAGATATAGATGTCGGAGTTGGTTTCCAAAGATTTCTGTTACCAATAGCACTAAGGAAAATACGCCAATATAATATTCTATCGGTATAGTTTGTAATTAGACCTCAACATTTTCATGATGTCTGTTTTGACTAGTTGTGCCTATTCCTAGTATCGACCCTTTTGGAAATGGTTGCATTATAAGTGAGTACAAGCTAAAAACTTATTGATAAATGGAACTAAATGGAAGGTGTGTTTTATTGAATGCGTATTATTGTAATAACATAGTTGGGCCTACGTTTGCGTAGTGGTACAAAGGATGCACTATCAACAATAGACTGTTTAAAGTTGGATATATCTAAACCCAATATAATTTTTGACCCTGCCATTTAACATTCAATAACTTATGAAACGAGCATTAATGCGTTGAGTAGTTGTGATTTATTGTACTAATTTTCAAAGTAATAATAAAGCACCTTAAAGAGTTACGACTACACGAAGGAAGAAATACGTTATGAATTACATAAGTAATGTGCATTCACGATTACATTTACAGATTTGGCATATGCGGGTTTACTTTTGTTAGTGTTTCCAGAACAGTTTACACATTTTTATGCACAGCAGAACGAAAAAGAGATGGATATATTTTAGGGAATAAGCATCCAATCCAGAGTTTGGTTGAAAAATCTACCTCATTCTTTTAAGTGGTTAAACTAAAGAGCCACTTTCCCGATTGGGTATCTCTAGAGAAACAAAGTTATGAATTCGAGTAAGATGAATGTTACATTTCAGCATTCGTTTGTATACAAATCGGAATGTTAAAACATTTCTGTACAGATATTTTACTAATTTAAGTTTAATTTTTTTACATTTTTAATTTTGTTTATTTTGTTTTATAACGATAATTTGTATATATTATGCGTTTATACGCCATGGGTATATGAAACGTTTTTTGTAAAGGGACGTTTTAAGCCCTGGGCTGCTACCATCCAACGTTGACCTTCTGGTAAATGATAGGCCTAAAGGTCAGATTCAACCTGCTTGGAATCAACCTAGAAACCTTCATATCAAAGATGAAATCACTCGGTCTATCCAGACAATTTATTTCTGTCCTTCCATATTTCTGATAAATACAATTGATGAAGACTATTCTCTATATGTTTACAACAATAGTCGTTTTATAACTATTGGCCGAAGTGGCTTTTTGCTGCACACAGGAGAAATTTTTACGCATGAGCCGTATGAGTGTGGAAAGAACTACAAAATAATCATTACATTCTTTAGGTGTAAGAATTTAAGCCCATGAAAATAAACCAGTGCCAATCGTCGCTAGTGAACAATGAGATATAAATAAGAGTAAGCGACAGGGCACCAGCTGTGTTCTACGACCAGATGTTCATCCGATTTCGCTGTATCGACAGTCCATTGCAGTTACTGTCGTCGATATTTTAAGAGTAGTTTACTGACTTGGTTTATTATTTATTTTTATGTTTGTAATAATAAAAACTATTTCGTGTTTTGTGTTGATATAATATATTATTGTGTTTAAATTCATCTACTATGGTCGTGTGCTTTACAAACACGTCAAACGAGTAAAATATACTGTCAGGCAAACGGGTTTTTCATGTTTTATTTATAATTCTAGAATCGATTCTAGAATCATTCTAAATACATTGGGGTCCCATCCTGGAGAAGATGTGTATAAACGTTTCGTATTTGGTTGCAATACCAGTTTGTATGTTAAATAGTTGTAGAATGCATTGTATTTGTTAATTTTATTCATGAGATACACAATTTGTATCTAACTTAATAAAAATTCTGATTTTCTGGTACTTCTAACCTACAACTCGACTATATACGTATCATAATAACTTCTACAGTTATCTTTATGAAGACGTTTTATGAATATTAGCCTATGATTATGACGATTTTCTAAAACATTTTAGATATATTTTACCTAGTTGTGATTTAAATTTGAATTATGTTTTGAGCCTACAAAGTATCATTGTATCATTCGTGTGACATATTGTTTAGTGATTAGTTTGTTTTATTTTATGTTCATTTAGTTTAATAGCTAGAAAAAGTATTATCTCTTACTGACCACCTCTAAAAAAAAAAATAATGAAGCAATAGGTTTGCAGTTAAAATCTCCATTATCCTTAATTTCCACCTAAACCACCTTCTAACCTTAACCTTTAAAAGACAACTTCAGGAATCGTAACTGTAAAGTGTAGTCCTTACAGTAGCATTATTTAGAAAATTTACCAGCACAACCTCAAATACACCCGTGTGACAAAAACATATAATACATAATAAAACTAAATTTAACTAATTTCACTCAACGGTCCAATAACTTCTGAGAAATCCTTATCCGTCACCGCACGATTACACGCTCCCGTTGCCAACTTATCTATTTATATTCGCTGAAAACAAAACTGAACCGTCACGCATTCTCGAGATATTGTAAACGAGAAGACTACAATAGCTGTTGTAGATGATGGTGATAGTTGGCAGCAAGCATGACCCCGGAGTCAGAGGCCGCTACTACGAGTACGCACACATTCTTGGCACCAGTGAAGATGTCGGTGGTGGGGGAAGGGGTTGCCAGAAGTAGACGGTGGCTGTGAAGAGTCTGTTGTGTCGTTGGAGTCTGAGACAGCCAGTACGGTATGCTCTTCCGGTAGCCGGTCGTAGCTTCCGGTACGTCCGGTCGACGAGATCAAGCTTCCGGTAAATGTAAACTGAATTGATCGATCCTGTAAATTCGGTAGACGAGAATAATTTAAATTTGCTTGAAAAGACACTTATCTTAATTTATTACGGTATTTGAAAGCTGAATAGATGTTCTTAGTAATGGGTCGGTATATTCAGTAAGGGTAGCTAAGACTAGGACTAAGACTTAGACTAGGACTAAGGGTAGGACGTTAGTCACTGTTAAGTGGTAATGGCTCCGGTTGTGCTTGTGCTAGTTTTACAAATCACTGGAATATTTTGTGACGACAACTTTTTTGGTGAGTATGACTGATTGCATTTTTGGAGTGTCAATTATACTATTTACTATCTCAATACAAATCAATTAGGGATGTATTCTGTAAACAGTGTTTAATTAACTGAGGACTAATGTACCTGTAAAAATGTTTTTGGTTAGTTACGTAGTCAATTCTTTGGTTTTTAGTGTTCTTAAAAGTTTGTGAACTAGTGTATTATTTTCTTTTTGCGAATACAAAAATAAATTAATCCAGTGCTAAATTTAACTAATGATGTACGAAATACAAATGGCATAACTAATTCAAACTTTTGACTTTATATCCTACTTCTCGTATACGTTGTTATGCGTAATGAATAACATATTTGATTGATATTTGATAATTATAGGGCAATGTTGTTCTGCATATTTTTGCATCATAGTTTTAGTGTGCAGATAGAGTTAATAAATGTGTAGATTATTTGTATACAAGTATGCATTATCAAAAAATGAAAAAGTCGTTCCAATATAGTGTGCAAAGTTCAAGGGGTTATTTAGGTTATTTAAGGCTTTTAAATGAATCCTTCTATCACTCGCCTGGTTCAAAGCAATGTAAAATCCAATTAAAAGAGTCAATTACAAAACAAAAAGAAACACATTTCACAGTAACTCTACATCAACTCCTGTGATGGTTAATGTTCTGTTTGTAATTCGATATTTGTTTACCTTTAAAAACAAGTGTTATTATTTTGTTCTATCCAATTGAGTCATTTGTCCTTAATTAAACCGTGAAGGAATAATACATTCCATTGTTATGTTATTCCGCAGTATAAGAATGTAGGTGGAATCTCATGATATATTTTGCTTGAGAATGAGAAATGTCAATAGGCAACAATGAAAAAATTATAATTAAGATAAATATTGACCAGCCATTAACCGATTGTCTGTAGTAATGTTTAAAATACGGGTGTCACAGCAAATCTGCCTAATAAGCAGATTTTCATCCCACTCGCACCATTCCATGGTCCGATCATATTGGTTCGCAAACTCATTCAAGTTTATCCCGCCCTACATCTTCAAGCAAAATTTCATCGAAATCGGACAAGAATTATTCAAGTTTTTGCGTTCACGGACGTATAAATCCATAAATATAAATTTAATCTAATATTGTTTTTGGCCTCTAGGGCCATCGAGATGAAAAAGTATATTGGTCTCGGGTCTAAGTTTTACCATGCCAATTACAGTAAAAGCTAATTCTCTATAGAGAAATTCGCTAATACAAATGTTACGAACAAATGTGAGACTATCTTCGTTTATTTCTTGATTGTTCGAAATAATGCAATGTATATTCATGTCTATGAGCTACTTTAATTAACTACCCTAGAAGATTTGTAAAGAAGGCATTACCATTCATCCATACGATTTTACAGCCCCCTTTAAACATACAAAGAAAATAATACATTATAAAATGTCAAGCTTTAGTAGGAACAATACTTGTATGTGGCAACATTTAACATAAAAATATTTTAAGAGTCTTCAGATAAATATAAATTTTCCTATAAATTCGTACTGATCATCAAAATTCACAAACTAAATAACCTAATAAATTAACCCACCAAGATCTGATGATTTATTTACGGATGAAGGAAGCCAAATCTTCCTCATGACCAAGTCCGTCAACAGAATTATTAAATGAGATTTCTCTGACGAATAATCCCTCCGAAAGCAGTTTAGAGGATCACAGCACAAAGAAAATATTAAATGCGGGCTTTGAGCAGGTCAGGCCAGCGTTTGAGCGAAGCCTTACGCATCACCGCACAAACAGCAGGGCGTATAATCTGCTACATGTAATATGTATGTGATTACATTCGACTTGGTTAGTAGCTGATTCAGCTCAATAAATATGAGAAGAGTAAATATACGTTTTAATTTAAACGAACATATGACATGTGACTTTTCACAGGTTTTGCACGTGTGTTTACTGTAAAAAAAACTGGTGACTGAAAGAGTTTCAAATTACGTGAAAGTGAATTTTCTGACCTGCAACAGTTTTGTCAGTTAATAAAAAACTTCCATGTTTCATAAAATCCATCACAATAATTAGTTCGTTTTGACGTATTATTAATATTTGACATGTATTATTGTATTATTTGACATAACATTAAATGTACGAGTGTACATTAAATGTTTTAACAAAATATACTTCTTTGTTTTTAAATGTAGACGAAACAAATTGTTTTAATATAAAGGTTAAAAATATATATTTATGTTTTAGTATACGCATACAAATTGTCTGAGAGTTTGTTTTATGCGTAATTCAAATTACAGTATTTACAGTGCCTTCCTTTTTGGTCGGTCGTGCTTTTGCATACTATTCCCAATGAAAACCGATGTACACATTTTTCTTGTACTAACGATGTAAATACTAATTATTGCTGCCTCATTACACGTATTTTCGATACAGTATAATTAGCTTATATTGTTAATTGCTACCAATAATAATGGAAAGAAAGATACTTCTTAATAGCCTTAAATTCGTAGTATAAAGATTTTTTGTAATTGAACTCGTGGTTTTAGCCATTACACTTTTAAACAACTACCTGCTTGAAAATAATTGAAATTGCAGCTCATGAACAATTCCAAATCATCCTCTTCAAAATCATAGATTCGGCTTTGCTTTCCTCAATTGGTAAACAATTGATTTTTATTTTAAAACAAAATCAACCTTTATAGCCTAAGCTTACTTAAATTAAAAGGATTTTGAGAGTATATGATGAAGTTAGTACAACTTGTGCCCTCCTCCCGTTAGGGATCAAGCCTAAACCTGACGGAATGCTATATAGTTATCAAATCCTTATCTTGAATCCAAAATAAATTTACTCAGTTACAAATTAACATTTTAAACCGACATTATTTTAGTAACATATAACGTAATACAACAAATGCGCGGATAAACACAAACTTTAATGAGAGTGTTCAACATACACACACAAATAAAGTGATAAACTATGTGAGAGTGATTACACTAAGGGACAATGGCAAGTATTTGGACCCTTTAACATTTATCTGCACAATTTAGAAAAACAGCAAAGTCTGTTTACTTAAGCTAGCCTCCCTTGGCTCTAGTTTGTACCACATTGTCTTTGCTTGCTCATCCACAAAGCTGGTTTGGTTGCTTTATACACCAAAGTAATCTTCTCTTTCGACGGTTCTGCAATTTTCCTGACAGAGCTTTTGTTGGAACTTTATTTTCCTTTTCTCGTGACTCTGTGTTTAAACAAAAGAGCTTGGTTAATTTAAAGTGTATTAGAACAAACTTACGACCCATATTAGCAAAATGATTTTTTCTACCCAAAACGATTTTTGTTTAAAAGGTCAGACTTCACCTTACGGTTTGTGTTACATGTACTATTATTATTTTTTATTTTATTTTATTTATTTATTTGACGGTAACAACCATTTACAATAATATGCTAATATGCTAAAAATTCTAACCAAACAATACATATGAAAAATTTTATGGCTAACACATATTTTTACAATAGATAATAGTATGTATGTATGTTATAGTACATGCTTAACTACACAAAAGATTGAATTTGCTTGATGGCTACAATTAGAAAATTTAACAAAGTGATGATTGCAAAATACATATAACAAGACAGACAAAATAATCGAGAATTGACAACCTAATAACACAGCCAAAGTGATACATGCAATAATGTTGAACAAAACAAAAGAGAAAAACATTGATAAAGCGACTGACATTTACTAAATACATGTCTCCAGTGACTAGGATTTCCACAACAGCTCATTTACAGTGACTTTGAAACTTATGACTAGAATTGAAGAAGTCAACTTGTGGTGCAACTACATTCCCTAGTCTTTGGATGCGGACCATAGTGGAGTTTTGCGCATAGTTTGTACTGGACTCATGTAACTTAAAAGATGCGACTATCCTTCATAATTATTATAAAGCAAAATGCCTTATATTAACCTTCCAGATTGAAGACTCTTCCAAAACAAGACGATTAAAAGAGGAAATTTACACGTGCCAGGATTAAATTCTATACACTTTCCGATAGCTTTAGCTAATAAAAGACACAGAGAACTTATACTTATAAGTTATAACTATAAGCTTTGACTATAAGTCATAAGTTTTAACTTATACTTTTAAGCAAGCAATTTAAAAGAAACATATTCTTCATATGAGTATAGTTAGAGATATTGTACTGTGCCTTTCAATTCAAATTTAAAAAAAGGAACAAACCAGCAAAGACAATAAATTTCGATCGATGTATTTTCGTAGTTAATAAAAAAAAAATAAACACCTAGTTAAAAAAAAAAGTTCTTTAAGTATGGAGAAGTTTTATTTATGAAAAGTGATCTACTCTTGAAATGAAGTCTCCCTCTTGATACTAAATTAGTTCGTTAATTATGCTGTATAACCTAAAATACTGGATATATCATATTTTAATAATATCATCATGGTAAATCATACATCTACTAAATTAGAATAAGTAAATTCGTTACAAAGTCACTCAGTTAACTATATTTCCATCCACTCATATATAAAAAACGACTATGTTTACTTAGTAAATAAGAAGAGCCATATAGCAGACAGCTGTTATTATTTATGAGCGTTCTAACGTTACAAAGCCCGACTATATTTATATGACTTTTGTGACGCGGATGAAAATAAAGCTGGAGACAATCATGTGATAAGTTGGAAGTGGCTAAAGATAGTTCCCCATTCCCCTCCCCCGCCACCACAACAACCACCACCTGCCCACAGTGTCCCTGCTGGAGAATGTTTAGGGACACGTGCCGACTAATAATGCTAGATTGAAGGATAAAACACTTATTGGACTTTTTCACAAACCTTTCAAAAACTAAGGTCATATATTCGTAGCCTGATGTGTTAATGCGTATCTTGAGGTTACGTCTTCAGATATAATAAAAGTAAAGTGACTTTAGGAAACATCTTCAGTATTTGCGGTTGATTTGTCTTTATTTGACATTTCAGTGATTTATTTTAATTACGAGGAATTAAGGAAAAGAACATCACATAAAGTACTTATTTCATCTAGTATAAAATTTTATATCTAGAAAATTACCTAAAGGCTTACATAAGTCTATACATTAAAGATTATATTTTTAAGTCAAGATGCTATGTTGATAATCATTAATCAAAGGACATCCAAGTAACATACACACGATTTTATACACATTATGGCAAAAAAGATAAACGGGGTTAATAAGGTGTTCTTGAGAAGTAAAAGAACAAACGACAGATAACGAGTTAAATCCTCCAGAGGATACAACATTAATTGGATGTTTTCATAAAACATTGCTGGCAGTCTTAAGATAGATACGTTGCACTGAGTTTTAGGACAATTAAAATACATAAATATAGTAATGTATAGAAATCAATCTCTGATTATCACCTTAAACAAATGCGTCTTCATTTATGAGTTCCTTGACCCAATGTCGGTAAAAAATGAGATGGTAATGATTCCGAAGGATGAATGTAGTTTTATCTGCATGAAATTTATCGCAGAAGGATTATTAAAACGGAGTTCGTAGAGTAGGAGTGGGTAACAAGGGGTTGGATAGTGACGCGGTGAAAATTTGTCTGCATATTAAAGAAAGTCCCCTATAATCTTATTGATTACTTAGCACAAACCTGGATTACATGAAAATAAAAAACTAAGTACCAGTTTTGGGGGTGAGACTTAAGGTTTTCATTTTCGTGTACTAAAATCAATACAAAAACCATTCAATCAGAATCATTACGAAGGGACCGAAAAGTCAAATTAACTTAATTGGAAAACTGTGTATAATTTGATATACTATAATGGTGTACTATATAGATGAATGTGATAATACTTTTCAAGCATGTGTTTTTGTAATCAATTTTTTAAACACTATGATATTTAGTGTGTATTTTGTAAAACAGTTTTAGTCGTTAACAATGAAATATTAGTTCTACTAATACTTACTTAAATCATTGGAACTTAACTTGCTCACAACAGTGTCTACTTTTGTTGCAGCGCTTTTGTCCGGTACACTGAAGACGTTTCAGAAGGCAGCTTGTGATGATCAGCAAGTCTCCCTGCGGTGTCCGCCAGGTACTTGTATCTCAGTGCTGGTGGCGCAGTACGGCAACTCTGCCAAGGATCTGCAGGATCTGTGTCCAGACGCACTGGGAGCTCATGTCCGCAACAACCTCACTTGTCCGTTCCCTACTGAACTACAGGTAGGACTTTATAGTTATCATAAAACTAACAATTAGAACACATAGTTAATTAGTGAGAATAGTGCTCGTCTAGTAGCCGGGCGTGTACAAAATTTACTCCCTAAAATTCTCATATAGGTAGTTAATATATTTTCCCGCGAGTACTTCAAAACAATTCCCTACAGATATTTCCTACTGATAATCTTATGTGAGTAAGTAATAATAAGCTTAAAAATAGGATTGGAGTTAACTTAACTTTGGAGTTTGCATAATTGACACCAAAGTTGATGAATCCTATATGTAATACACAAATGTCCCATCCTACCGTGTTTTTATGGTCCTTTGTACAATTACAATTGTTATTTTAACATCACAATGTAAAATATTCAATGTAAAATAAATAACACCTATTCTGCCAAGATTCACGTTACCAAAAACAACCATTATTATTTCCACAATTCCTGCTGCGTGGACACCCTGGGAAAGCTAGTAGTATAACCATGAGAAAAGGTAAACGTTTTTTTTTTCAGAAACTAAATCTAGCTTTTCTTGACAATCTTGGGTTTTTATTGAACAATGCTAAGACAATTTTCATCATAGTCATTAAACCAGTAGGTGTGTAAGGCTTTCACCACATTCTCAACAAAATTTAGTGTTCCCTCATCTTTATCTTACTTTACGCACTGATGTTTCAAAAACGTCTATCAAATCGATTCTATAACCTTGTTTCAGTTTTTTATGTAAAACGTTTGAAGATGAAAAAGCAAAATAGGCACTCCATCCATTTAAACCAGCTCTTATAACTGTCTACAGTTTTTGCAAAAAAACATTATTTTTCTCAGTTATTCTTTCATAGTTCAATTACTTCTTAGCCATCACAGATGCTGATAGTTAACTGTCTGTTCTCCTATATGTGTGGATTAATTAAAAAGGCGATTTATAGGAAACAATTTTAACTAAAAACATAGCTCAACTATGGTTTTTTCATTCTCAAAAAGCGCTGGCTAGCACCTTAATGTAAGAATATGACTTATTATCTGTATTCAAAGGAAACCCGACTGATAGAAAGCAGTACTTCACTAAACTCGACTAAATGAGTTGAAACCCCCCCCCCCTTGCACCCTTTCTAGTGTAAATTTGAGGTATTTGATATGACGTAGACCGTAACATCAATTTGGGTTATACGCATCAAAACTCATGATTCGCCGTCATAATGCTTCAGTATATTTGCATGATTTTCAACTAAACTGATTTAATATTTTATCACAATGATTGTACTCTTAATTCAATAAATTTAACAATCCTTACCTTCGTTAGTTTGAGTTTACTCGATTTTATATAACCTAAACGGATCAAGAAAAATAAGTACCTTTTTTCTTTATACGTTTCAACGCTAACCGATTATATTAATTAAAGGTAGCAGTTTGCATTGTCTGTCCTCTTAAAGACTTATGTTTATTTTAGTTAAAACATTATTTTCCTGTGTGTCCATGTTGGCTCTGTTAAAAATATTGTACTTAGTTTTAATTTAGATCCAGTTTAATCTAATAATATTTTGTGCTAAAAGTATTGATCAATAATTAAAACATAACTCTTATAGATAATAAAAATACAAATTCTTAATAAGTGACAAAGCTAATAAAAAAAAGAAGATTATGAAGGAATTGGCCTTAAAACTGAAGTGTTAAAATATAGTAAATCTGCTAGGTAAGATTGGTCAGATCTAAAGGACAAAGACGTGGGTTATCTTCTGTTTGAAACGCTTTCAATCTTTCCCTCCTCCACTTCATGTGAGAGCTCTCCAAAAGTCTCAGTGAAGAATGAAGTACTGTATACAACTAACTTAAATCCAGATTTAGAAGAGACAAGATCTCTAAAACATGATATTTTTAATAGAAATAGTTGAACAAATTCAAACAAAGTTACCATCAATCATTTCTTTGCATTGATACATGCATATATCTATTTATAAGTAGGGTGTCAAATGGAATATTAATTTAAAAAAATCTAAGCCTGCCATAGTTGAAAAGAAGAACACAATTAGATTCTTTAGATTCGCCCATATTAACCCGTTTATCTTAACATAGCTTTAATAATATGGTAAACTTAACTTTTTCCTTTTCTAGTTGCAAAATATAAGAATAATCTTTAAACCTTGAATTGAGGTTTTACTTCAATTGAAGATTTATAGATGAATTAATAAATAGATTATGAGTGAATGGGGATTTATTATTGGACAAATACAGAATATTTTGTAAACTACTCCCTACTGGTTTTGAAAAAGGAATGTCTAAATATACTTCGTTTTTAAAAGCTATTTATTATTTGCAATACATTGTTTACCCACACATTTGCAACAATTGTGCCAAGACAGTCGAATGCAACAAAGATTTTTGACAACTTTCAATCGTTTTCAACAATGTATTGTTAACAGAGATATTAATGTGATGAGGGCTGGATAATCGTAATATTAGGTAAACTAATTAACAAATAATTATATCGTATTATTTAAAATAATACGAATTTCACGAGTAACTAATGAGCAATAGAAATAAAACACCCGTTCCAACATTTGATACATTGACAAAAACTTTCCTAGTGCTTTAAAATCTATAAGCGTTTGAAACAAACCTCAAAACGCATTCCAACGTTCCGAGTAATCCGGATTTTCAAACGAGAAATCTCTCAGTGTCTTCAAACCCCGGCGGACAAAAAGTAATTTGTGAAACGGTCTGAAACCGACATAGACGCGTTTCCCCAAATACCTGCGTCGCGTCGCGGCGTCTGTCCCGTGATCAAACGAGACTCTAGTTGTGGTTAAATTAGGGAAATTAGCTGTCGGAATCTCTGTCTGAAGGGAGAAATTAGTTTGAGATTTACTTTACGGTAAAGTCCTAGTTCTGGATCATTTATATACGATGTTTCTTCACCTTACTGATGTTTGCTGGATATCTTTTGAAGAGCTCGTCTAGACGAATTTAAACAAAGAAGCTGCAAACGTATCACTCTTAAAACTAAATAAGGAGTTTACAAATTCCCTCTTTTCAGTAACTGTGTCTTTCTAATATAATTCGTATAATATGTATTGTAAATTTTTATGTACGTTGGTATTTTGAACGTTTTGCATCGTATAATTCATTTGTATTTTTATTTTTATGTTCTTTCAATTTTGTCAAAATCTTGTGGGAAATAGTTTATAATAAGAATTTTTTATAAACTTATATTGAAAAATCTGCAAAATTGTATATTAAATTTGGTTTTAAACATTCGAAAATACAACCGGAAACTGTTAAAACCCAAGAAGGAATAATAATAAAAATATATATCAGTAAAAATCATAAGTTAGACATTTCGAATTTCGAAAAATGTGTAAAATAAATCAGTTAAAAGTCTACTTGGTTCTGATTGACCAACTATAACATAACTACCCTTTTTAAACATTTTTCTCGTAAAATCCCTTTTGTTTTTCACATTTAGATGAAATGTCAGCACAGTCAAACAAAAACCAGTTCTGAAGTAATAATTAATTTATCAGACTTTGAGTGGCCCACAATAATGGAGATGAAGTTCCGGAATCCCACATCATTAATCTCTGAGCCAACGACAACCGTTGTATTATTGGTAATTGTGGAACTCTGCGAAGTCTCATTTATTTCTCAGATTCTAGAGGATCTGTTTTTGATTAACTATACTTTAATTGTTTGATGGAATATTATTTAGCCATATTTACTTTTCAGAAAAAAATAAAAAATATGATTTAACTTCAAACTACACTCATTAGAGATCATTATCAATGCCTTAAGTTTTACATTGTTTGTACTATTAAAATAGACTTAACGTCATGCGTAAGAATATTTTTTGAAGACAACAGAGCTTAAGTAGTTTAAATTACAATTTAACACCTAAATTTTTTTAAATGCATACTTTTGTATTTATCATATTTATTTTAGTTATGTGAAATTTGAATGATAAAGCCCCGTACACTCCGTATGTTGTTTTTTTTAATAGTTAATCGTAAAAATAATTACGAATAAATACTCGTACATGGATAAAATATTTATCATATATTCTTTTACAGTGTTTACCTTGATGTCACAAAAATACATTGTTATTCTGCTACACGAAGAAATCATAGTTTTTTGTTATCGCTGAATGAGGTAGGCACACATCAGAACCTTTTGAAACTATAATATAATGCACAATTAGTGTAGAGTTTATAAAGAGGCATTTTGTACCTTTATTGATGACTAAGCAAAAAAAATAAAAAAATGTAAAGATCATTACATTATTAATAGTTTACACTTTCTTTGACTACGTAATAATGATTATGTAACAAGACGAAACTACATTCCAACTTTTATAACAAAAATGAAACATGCTTTTTCATATACAGGGTGAGTTTTAATTGTCCCCCCCCCCCAACTTTTTTCTACATTTTTTCAAATATCAATCCCAGACCACTTCCAAACATTGTTGGGTAGTAAGTACTTCATTTTGACAAGGTGGTCATTTCCGGCCGCCATCTTGGATCCGCCATATTGGATGCAAAATTTTTTTTTCAAATGTAAAGGTGGGATTGTGACCCATTATTTCGAACTACATTTTTACCCTGATTATAATGCCGCAAACCGTTTAAGTAAATCTTGATTCATTCTAAAGTTACGAGGGCTTTTTAAAACTTTATTTTTAGCCCATTTTAACATTGTGCATTTACAAACTAAGACCATAATCCCAAAATAGTGCTAGATAATGATAAGTATACACTACCAGTAATTGTCCACCTATTTTCACTTGGTTATGACTGATGTATTTTTTTTCGGCCGCCATCTTGGATCCGCCATTTTGAAATGTGATAAATTATTTTAAATATGAAGGGGGTGTTGTGACCCATCATTTTGAACTACTTTTTTAAGCTAAACTCAATGCCGCAATCCATTTTTTGTTATCAAGTTTTATTTATGAAATATTGAAATTTTTTTGATAAAAATGTCAATATTTCAAAATCAAAAAATGAAAATGAAAAACGGATTATGGAATTAAGTTTAGCTTAAAAAAGTAGTTCAAAATATTGGGTCACAACACCCCCTTCATATTTAAAATAATTTATCACATTTCAAAATGGCGGATCCAAGATGGCGGCCGAAAAAAATACATCAGTCATAACCAAGTGAAAATAGGTGGACAATTACTGGTAGTGTATACTTATCATTATCTAGCACTATTTTGGGATTATGGTCTTAGTTTGTAAATGCACAATGTTAAAATGGGCTAAAAATAAAGTTTTAAAAAGCCCTCGTAACTTTAGAATGAATCAAGATTTTTTTAAACGGTTTGCGACATTGTAATCAGGGTAAAAATGTAGTTCGAAATAATGGGTCACAACCCCACCTTTACATTTGAAAAAAAAATTTTGCATCCAATATGGCGGATCCAAGATGGCGGCCGGAAATGACCACCTTGTCAAAATGAAGTACTTACTACCCAACAATGTTTGGAAGTCGTCTGGGATTGATATTTGAAAAAATGTAGAAAAAAGTTGGGGGGGGGGACAATTAAAACTCACCCTGTAGATACACAGTAGTAGATGTATTAAAATAAATCTTTTCCGTATAAAATAAACATTCGATAACAGCTCTCGATGTAAACCTATCGAAAGGAAATTGACAAATGGATGTAAGTTGTTGATTTTGACATGTTTTCGCAGACGAAGTGGGAAGCTACGCCGGAGGGAACTTGGGGCAAAGTGAGTCAATCGCTCCCCTTATATCCACCACTTGCCTGCCTTACTGCAGCCCTCTCTATTATTTACCTTTACCTCATGTTTACGATCATGTATTATTTATTTCATTTTGACAGTTTGTATTTTATACTTTTACCATTAGAACCACTTGTAGTACATTTTTAGGCTTAGTCGTTGGCACGATACTTCATGTTTTATTTATGTATGTGTGTAATATTGTAAACATATTTTGCATGGGTAATTGCACATATAATTGTATTTATATCTTATTTACAGATTTATTTTAGAATGCACATTATAGTATTACTGTAACAATGTGAATATGTAATCCACAAGCAAGTGTGAGGATAAAAGATTTTCAAGAATATGTATTTTATATTATAAAACACTCTCTAATAAAAACATGAACATGACAAAATTTAAATGAAAATATAAAAATAAGTACAATTTATGGATCGGATGGTAAAACAAACATTAAAACTAGTCTTCCAAAACCTATGCATTGTAGTAATTTTATTATAAATGCTTATAAATGTATAAACAAAAATGATGTATTTAATAAAACCCATAACCTTTTGTTATTTAATGTTTTTTTCTCAATGCCTTTTATTTACAAGGCTTTTAAATAATGCCATCAACCTTGGGAATTCCTTATGTCAACTCAACCACAATGTTATACTGATTTCGTCAGTTTTTATGAACATATTATGTAGTTTCCTAGTTCTACACATTGAGTAGCTGCTAACTGAGGGAAGGTAGTATTCACTGTTGCAGACGGTGATGGAGGCTTGTCATAAGAAACGACAGTGCAAGTTTCTCGCCACTCCTCGCTTAGACCCGTGCCCGGGCTTCCGAAAATACATCGAAGTCGCCTACAAGTGCCGTCCATGTAAGTGTGTTATAAGAATGTTATTTTTTTTACCACTATCAACCAGGGTACCAAAATAAGTCATGGGGAACTTTACAAAATGTATATTACTAAGTATAGTAATTCTAACATAACGTTATAGTTTATTATAACATAAAGTACCACTTCTAATAAACTAAGTAGCAAGTCAATAAACTTTGCTCTTCTGATGCCAAACTCTAGAATTACTGTGAAGTTACATCTTTGTGATACTGATTGCATAATAGCTTGAGTTACTTCAAGTTTCATATTTGTGGTTCTGTGAACAAGACTTAAAAAAAAAACTCTCAGCACTGTAAGATAACCTCTTTGTTTTCCTTCTTATCTTAATATATGGATAACCCCTATTATATGTTCCGTAGTCAGGTTTTGCTTTCAAGAAGACTACCAAAGCACCACTATGTTTTTCCTCTATCATGATCCATAAATAAGTTTATGGGACAGTTTCGAAACACATTAATATATGTGTTAAAACCTTAATCGGTTCAAATTACCTTTTTGATTTATTCCCTCTCTTACTCTATGGAAACCACAGTCGAGTTCCGCAATTCAGTTTCCCACCAGAAATCATCCATACCTACTCTCCAGAAACTTCAAAACTCTGTGATGTTACCACTTCATTTTATGTCACTTGTTCTTATACTCTGTGGAGATGTCTACTAATGAGTTTCACAAAAACCGTAGGTTGCCTGTGAAAATCTAAATTTACCTCTCTCTTTCCTTTCCTCTCATACTCTTTGGAGATCCACTACATGTATACGAGTTCTGCAGCAATCTAGCCCGTGAAGAAGAGACACTTTTGTTCTAAGCCCCTAAAATAACCGTCTTTTTTCTTCATAACTAGGCCTGTGGAGTTTTGACATGATGAATCACAAGAAGTATTGAAAGAGGGAACGGCCCGAACCAATATGTGTTGTTGATGTTCAGGGAATCGAAACCGTCCATCCCATACCCAAGTCCGTAGCTTTAACCACTAAGCAAGCAACACAACCCATATATTGTTACCCCTTTGTGATCCAGATTTATACTCTGTGGATTTCCTACCTTATTCTATGAATACTGTTACAGATGAGTTCCGCAGCAAGGTAGCATGCCAGGATGATACGCTCCAGCTTTCCTGCAACCCTCACTCTCGAGTCGCTGTCTACTCCGCCAGTTTCGGGCGAACAGAGTACGAGAGTGTAAGATGCCCTCAGCCACAGGGCGTCAGGGAAGAGAGTAAGTATACTAGTAGGGAATTAAACGTAAGGTTTGGCACTGAATCAAAAGGGTATAGGTATTTTTTGTTTCTGCTCCTCTTAGGCATATCGATGTTTTTTCTAAGAAACGGCCATTGACCTAAGTATTACCTTGGACTGCAAGTGTAGCAGTTAAAGATAATCAACGATACACTCTTAGGGTGATAATATAGATACTATATATGAAACCTTTTACACTATACTTATCAACTTACGTTATAATCACGTGTGTTTAGTGGTCTTATATTGATAAAACTTAAGCTTTGTATTATAATTTGAAAATGTTTAACTATTATTGTAACTGTTTACAAAACAATAGGCTAATATAATAGGCGATCTTATATTTCATGTCTATCTCAAACAGTCTTATCCGTCGTCATGAGATTTAATATAAATCCGACATAAGAAAAAGTGTTTAGTCGTTTTTATAATTTTTTTTAATACACTATTTACCTGACAATCGTAGGAGTAACAAGAAAACGGTAAAGTAATAGCCTTACTAAATAATGTAAGTAATGCTAGTATTATGATAAATACAATCACATAATCGATGAAAAACACATTTGCATTAAATTGAATGAGACGAGAAATATCAGAAGTGCTTGGCTAAGAGGTGATCTTTACCTTTAGTACCCTAGTTCCTACTTGGCAGCAAATTGGCTAAAGTAGTTGTCGGCTGAGTTGATTTCCCCCACGTATTTGCTCCTTCAATGTGATGCTGAGTACGGAACGGTGCTTGTTCAATCGATGTTGCTGTCTGAGGAAATTTGCTCTCATGCATTCAATCTTCTAATAGAACCAATGTGACCTAAATGTATCTCATTTAAAGTAATGATGGAATACTATTGAAAACTTAGATGTTTATTAGTATGGGGAAACTTGGATATTTAGTTAATTCAGTGCATCGGTACTTAAGTATGCTTTTTGAAAAAAAAGTTGTTTGGATGGTACGCTGTGACATTTAATGTGCACTTAACTGGTTTTGTACTATGAGAATTTGAAAGTTTCTAAATTTTTCATGAAGTAAAGATTGTTTTACTATAAACTAAAAGTTTTTATTTGCATTTTAACTTAAACTATACAGACTGTTTTTCGAAGAGGTTTAGATGTCATATTAGGAGTGTTTAAATTACAATGCAGTAAGTATACTGCATCAGGTAACAACTCAAGCATATAGTTTGTATAAGAATCAAATCGGTAAAATGTTTCAATATACAATTTGTTTGTAAAAAAAGTTATGAGGCTGAACAATATGGTATTTAAATTACCTATTTGATAAATTATGCAAGGTTTCAAAACTTTCGGTTCATAAATGGTCAAGTGATATTAAACTAAACGTCTTAACCTCTTCTTGAGGAACCTAATATCATTGCGCGTTATTGTAGAAATAAATAATTGGACACTATTAGCATGTGATCCTAAAATTGTGAAAACAAAACAAAAACATCCCAGATATATTAATTATGCACTAACCATTCAATTACAATTAAAGTTATCTTCTTTTTTTCTTCAGCATTAAGAAAAAGTAACAGCTGGTGGTTAATCACTTTCAATACCTTCGGTAAAAGCCTCCTAAATGGTAAAAACCATTGATTGTAATAAACTATAAATTAGAGTTGTGCAATACATCTTTGACAAAGATTTTCCACCAATCATTGGATGTTTTTAAAATCAAAAAAATATATTGAAACTAAACTTGGTATTCATTAATTGCTTAAAGGCCACTGATAAAAATATATACAATATATTACTTCCTATGAATAATGTACTCCTAATTTGTACATGTTATTCCAATAGAACAATTTACACATTAATTTCAACATGTTGCAGCATGTTTGGCGACATATGCCACAGAGACAGTGATGCAAATCTGCCACGGTAAGAGGCAATGCAGTATCAAGGCAGATGCTTTGACATTCGGCAGTCCATGTCATCACCAGTCTAAAACCTACCTCAAAATAGTGTACACTTGTGGTCAGTATAATAGACATTAAATAGTATAATTTTATTGGCTGTTTCTTAAAATTTAATTTTTGTTCCCTGGGAACGATGTATTATGAAACAATGTCATAGCACCAATGTGATTTTGTTGTATTATTGCAGATCTAAATTGATTAAATAATCAGTTTGCCCGTAAATTCTTGGAATACAACCACTGGATTTTAAAACTTTTATAATACCTTCTAAGGTTAATTTGAAATAATGTTTTCGCCACAATACTGCGAAATAACCTGTTTTCGTTACATCTTCATCACCTGCGAATATTCATCATTACATTGTTTACTACGGCAAAAGAATGTTTACTATGCGAAAGTAATGTTTACTATCTTTTTTTGGATTTTGCCGACGTAAACAAACAAAGATTTGTCATTGTTTTGTCAACTGTTCCAATTTCCAATTACCAAAACTGTACAACCGAAGTAAGTATTAACTTAGAATTTAAGAAATAATAAAAAAATGTTGCGAGTTTTGGCATGTTCCTAATCGTAATGAAGAAATATCCAATGCATGTTTTTATGAAGAAAATATTCATCTTTGTAGTGTAGCGAAAAGTAACGTTCAAAACACGAGTGAAAGTGGGTCTATAAATATTCTTGACCATTTAAAGTGCTCGATAAACCTCGCACTTCAAACATGGTCTCAAATATGTAATGACTCTTTTCTACTCTTGCTGTAAAATATACTAACATAATAATGTAAGTTTTTATATTAGACCCTTACTTGATTGAGCAATTATGTTACTACTGAACAATTAATTTAAAAACGTAATACTGCTTAATTAGACCATAAAACCGATTTTCTAGTTTTTATGGTAAAAACATTCCACATTGCTTATAACACTGACAATGTGTTATAAGCACATTGTTTTTTTCTTTTGTTTCTTGTATAGAATGACTTTTAATGCCCTCTTACTAAGAAAAAATAATATGCATAAGTGAGAGAAAGTATTTTAAGCACTAAATCCCTAAAATAATGGTTACAAATGTTATATACTAATCAATATTTCTGGTCCTAGTGCCCAAAACGGTGCTAAGGGAACAGTTCGAAGACACCGTGGTGGAAGAGGACGAGGGAGTAGAGCCTGACTACGATGTCGACTACGATTCTGTAGACAACGCCTTGAGGGAGAACCACGTGTACTCCGAGTCGCCAAGACTGGCGGTGGCTGGAGGACATACTAACGGCTCCGCCCCAGTGGCTACCCAGGAGTCTACCGCCAAAGAAGAGGATTTCAAAGGTAGTTTGCGTCCTGCGTCCCGGTGTAGAGCATATATACGATGATTGGGGTACGTTCCAACAGGTTATACGTACCAGAAAGAACCAGGATTGCTCCTTGTTACTGAAGCACCTGGTTTATACGGCCAAGAACGACAGATAATATACAAATTAAAATCTCACTGTACGGAACTTAATACTAACGGTAAGTAGCACTATCCTTTAGTATATCTTCAAAGAGATAAATGGTTACAAGATATTGTAAATTTCATCACATGTACCAAAAAATACGCATACACACAACACAGTATTTCACGTGCACATACAAGAGTGAGTTTCATGTTCAAGGTGAAGCCGAGGACGAAAATAATTTAAAGAAAATATATTTTGGTACAAGTTATGATCAGTAATTTTCATTACGACGAAAGCGCCTATTTCTATTTATATTTAAATTATCAAACAATAATAACAGCTTGAAAAAAATTATAATAATAATGGGAAAGTGTACTTGTGCAAGTGTATAAGTGCAAGTGGACGTATATGAAACATATTAGAGCATGAAAACTAAATTTAGAAAAAAGGAAATTTAGCTAATTGTTTTTCTTTTGCTGTAAATTTGTAGTTTTTTAAATAAATTTTTAGTTTTATGTAAACTTTCGGGGATGATAAATGATTTATGTAAGTATTGCCACAAAAACATTTTTCCTCAGTTGATTTGGTTGTAGCTGTAAGACGTTTTCAAAACTTTTTGGCTTATTTCACTTCACGACGGAGGTTAGAAAATTAAGGAGTATTTCAGCTTTTGATTGCAATATGGTTTGTAAATTATATAATAAAGTATAGTCGTTGGCAAAACATGTCAGAGGTTGTTAGAATATTCAAAATATAAAGTCGTTTAAAAAAAAGGTAACCGGAATGCATCGTCCTGTTTATGGATATTGAATTCTATTAAAGGTAATCGATATATTTATTTTATGGAAAAAAATATTTAAAAAAATAAATCAAAAAACAAACAACTTTACCAAAATAACCAATTGCATCGTATGGTAATAAATACACGGTTACAATCAATATCAATTACAATCCATTTTGTGGTTTATACAGTTAAGGTACATATCCATGCAATTTATTACAAATGAATGAGAACAGTAAAAACCGACAGTATGGTACATTATGAGCACCTGCACACGATGATTTTGTACCGGAGTCATTACCTAGTGTGTAAACTACAGTTCAAGTGAGACACATCGCCCTCATGTATGTTTCATGTAGCTCTCTCCCTCAAATATACCACGTTATGTTCGCCCCAGCTGGTACATGGCACTATGTGTCATGTCTCGTATGTGGGATGTGGTAGATATGCGGGTTATGTCGTAATGTAGCGAGTATTCAAACACCCTGCCCACATGTGTTTACCAGGTTTAAATGTAATTTATGACTGAATTTTATTTGTATCATGACTGAAATGATAACGATTTAATAAGTTTAAGGTTCCGACATTTAATTAGTCAATTTTATCACGTGTTTGGGGTTTTTACTTATTAATTAATAAAAAATGTAATAGTAAGCGAAAAATATACGATAACATTACGACAAAAACGTTAGAGTTTTTGGTGATGTTTTCTTAATATATAAGGACAATATAAAGGCTATATATGAGCTAAACTAAATTCCTATAATTAATATTAAGTAAATGTTACCATAAATAGTACGATTGTAGCCTATGCTTTTTTATGAAAAAGGGAGAACTTAGGACGGATTTAGATTTTCTAAAAAGAATACAGTATAAGTATGATTGAGCCCCATTTACGCGTAATACTATAATTTTATAGAGGTTTAATAGTTATTATAATCTCATTTAAATCCTCTTGTGGCAGTGCGATCCTAATACGACTCGATTCGTGTGTACTCAAACAAGTACTTAATTACACTCAATATCATCCAGAATAAGTCCTTTACAGATATACAGCAACAACAAAATCTTGATATTTGATAAATTTTCCAAATTGCTAATCTTTATGAAGTTTTGATGAACAACTAAACTCATACCTGCTATTTATGACTGTTAATATTGTACTGTAACTCAATACCTTGTATTCATAACATATACCAAAAGGTGATTCAGGCGTATGGAAAATGTTAAATATGTTAAAATAAATGATAGATACATGTATTGTACATCCAACTAAACTTGCAACCCGCCAAAGTATAAACCATCCAACCATCATAAACCTACACAATAATGTACGTACTCTTAAAATAGTTTTTCAACCATCAGAGACCCGAGATCGTATCGTGCTGAGCCTGGTGTTCGCCATCGTCAGCGGCATGGTCCTGATGGCGGCGCTGGTCGCTGCAAGGTGTCTCTGGATGAGGCGAAGACCCGGAGACAAGCAGCTGACCAAGGTATACTCCGAGGAGGCTGATCAGGAGATCGACCTCACAGCGACTTCGGCTGTCACTGTGCTGCCCAGCCCTCAAGAGGTATGCATCTCATAACTTATACACGATAGGTACGATTACATCTGAAACATTGCAAGTATGAAAATAGCTCATGTTTAGCACATGCCACAGTGATATCAACTCTTTTATATAAAGTAGGTAATAGGAAATATATAGTTGTATAACTATTAGAAAAAGAGGACCAATACTTGCAGGAATGTTGTACCAGATGTATTACTACATTTGTGGTATTCTGTGCAAGGGCAGCCGACTGAGATTTAGTCTTGAGACTGACACAAACTCTGTGTCCTTGTAAATATATTCAAGGATTTTTTGGACACGATACAACATTTTATGTTGAATTGCCTCAAGAAATATCCGTTACAATTTAATCAAAATGGTGAAGGAGCATAATCAAATTAGGGTAGAGTAGCGAAAAGGCAGTTTATATTATCTGATAGCTTGTTACAATAAATTTATTGTCGTTCACTAAATTATCCCCTCTTACATTTTATATTTTGTATACTTGCAATTATAATAATTTTAGATATTTTGCAAACTATTTTTAACAGATTGTGATGCAACTAAATCAACTAAATGCTAGTTTTGTTCAAAACTTTATAGTAAATTGGCATTTTGTAAGACAATTATTTAAATCAGATCTCGTTACTGTGATATGTCATCATCTTGTCACATAAAATAATTCGTTTGAAAATCATAAAAAATAGCATCTAAGTCCAAAATCAATCCCAATCCCGATTAAGACTTTAAATTAATTTAACAATTAGCACGATAACTTGTACACTCTTCTTGGTAAAGTATGACCGCGTTTATTCCCTGTGCTACTAATATTACCTTATTCATAACCTATTCGATTGTTTACAGGTGATAAGATACAAGGAGGAAACGCCACTTAGCATGGGGACGAACTCCGCCACCGACTACTACTATGGATGACCCGCAAGTGTGCCAGCTCCCCCCACCACAACTAGCACCCTGGCGGGGGTGGGGGTAGTCAGTACCTTCTGCTTCTAGCACAGGCCGACGGTCGGGGACTCTGAGGAACTCTTCGAGTTATAGTCTCCGGCCATGCTCATCAAGTGTTGGGACATTAGTGGCAAGGATACATTTGTAGGCTTTTACTAAAACGTCCAAAACTTTGGAATCTGTCCAAGAACATTGTTAGGGCTGACAGTTTCTTAAAGAAACTTCTTGTGAAAAGACTGAGTTTATTACTTGACGTCCTTTGTGGAAATTGTACATATTTTTTGACAACTTGGTAATTTCTTAACTCGGTTAGAGGGCATTTAGTCTTGTATATTTAACATGTTTAAGATCAATATTAATATATTTAGTACCAAATATTACCGGGACACCAGCGAACTGTTTATTTTTGGAAACAAAAACTCCTAAGCAGTTTCGGTAAAATGTGTTAATAAACTTATAACTATTTGTTTTCAAGTTAATATGTAGTAAATATGCATGTATTTTTTATTCTTTTATTTAACTTTATTTGTAAACTTTACCTTATACATAATCCATGGTGAAATAAAATTTAACTATCAAATTGGTTAAACAACAATTCGGTTAGCTTTACAGTTTTCTTAACCAATTTCCTATCTTTTCTCTATTCAGAATTTTGAAAATATAAAAATCCTTGTTAAAAAACAAAGTTTATAACAATACTATAAGTCATAGCATTGTAATCTTGATATATATAACTTTATATTGTTCAAAACTACAGAGGAATAATAAATTTGTATTTTATTTAAAAAAAGTTCATCTTACTGTGTCCCTCATAACTTTTGTAGATTAAGGTGACGTATTTATAATTTATAGTTCCTATAGTTTTGTTTTGTTTGTGAATGCTTTAACTAAAATAAAATTAGTTATCTTTATCAATTTTACTTACATTTCATAATTACATCACTTGCGCATATTCTAGTTTGCGCTGTAAGCCCACATGATACAATGTATGTATTTTCTCACCTTATATACTTACACTTTTTAGTCTGTGCAGTGCTTAACTGATAAGGTATCAATGACAATATAAAGCGAGCCTTAAATAACAACAACGATTCTATTTGTGCAAGTCTTAAATATAAAAAATCGTCATACCATTTTATATATGTATCACTATTTTATCGGAAACATGATCTCATTAGGGCTTCTAAAGTACTTGATTTTTTCCCAAATCTGCAATAGTTAACTATTACTTTTTGCTCTAAGCCCCTAAAGAGTAATTCATAAATCTTGTTAATGTCTTCTTAAGCTGAGGCTAAACTTTCCTCATTCATCATTTAAATTTCCCTGCAATATCCCCCAAAGAAACCACTTGGCATACACTTAATTTGGAGCCGTGGTTAAAACTAATCTAACTTTTTGAAACCCTTATTACCATTACTTCAATGTTATAAAAGACATATAACATACTTATAAAGCTCACACAGTATACAGATTTGCTTGCTGTTTAAAAGTACCTGTTTTGAAAAACTTGAAAATAAAATGAAAATCCTTCATTTATTTCAACAGGAAAAAGTTAAGGCCCCGTGGCTTATTCTTACACTTAACCTGCAAAAACTCCAGTAGCAAACATACATAATGTATTTTTGAAATCTCTGAGAAGAATCAATTTATACATAACACAAGTTTATTAATTGTAAACTTCATGTCGTTATTACAACCAGTATATATTTAAGCATAAATTGACCTTTGCTTTTCAAACCGGACGGTATTTTTATAAAAAGAATAGAATCACAAAGACGTCAGGAAAATGTAGACTGCAATAACACTTCTGACAGTTGGCAGGCTCTAAAGTGCTGCAAATATTGCCAAGTAGGGTGGTTTAGGAGGAAATGGCTTATGCATAGTATAGTGTTCCAAATTTGTAGCCCATGTGTGAGACAATTTTAAAAGTGGCCGTAATCCAACGCTTAAAGGAATGGATACAGTCATTTACTTGGCTTTTATGAGTTCATAAGTTTATGAAAATATCAAGATAGCAGATAAAAAGCAGGTAGGTTTTTGTAAATATTTGAATCAAATGTAATTGGATTTTAAAATTCATTGTTGTAGCCCTGGAACTGTACTGTATAAAATATCTGGTTTTACATTACCTTTATCAGTTTCAAAAGTAACCATCGTCAACGTGTTACATGTTTCGGCAAACTGCTATTGTCAAACACTTTATCATAGTAATATGTAGATCCGCTTGAATAGCTTCGTTCTCATAACACACTACACAACAAGCAAAATTTACACACGACACGTACGACATAAAAATAAATACTTTTATTTTAATAGGCCTATCACGAATGTACAACATTGCCGGTACACGAGCAGGAACAGACTGTCGGTGGAGGGTTCAAGTCAGGGCTATCAAAATTAATTATCTTCGTTATCTGTTGTGGTCAGCTGATCCAATTTGTTTCCTTGTTGCAGTAGCGTGTTAAAATTATATTTGACTTAAACTGGAGTTTGTCATTCAGGATATGGTTGTTGGAATCCAGATTTTGTTATTGATTGATACATATTTCAAACTCAAAACCCAAATCTCGGCCTAACAGCATAATATTCATAAGTATCAACTATCTTTGAAAAGTTACGAAAATGTTCATTACTTATTGTTAAAGTTCAATGTACGTTTTCAAACCTGCGCAGAATTTACACTGGAGCTCAAACTGACTTTGCCAGGCCTTTTTCTATTAACAACGAAAAACTAATTTCTGGTGTATAAAGATTACAGAAAAGCTGTTTGATTGTGGAAAAATCATTTACTTAGATTAGTTACAATTGCTTTTTGGTGAGTCGATGGCTCAGTCGGTAGCCGCACGGACTATATATGGCCCAAGGCAGCAATGTCGTGGGCTCGGATCATGGTCAATGCCGCAAACATTTTATCAGTACAGTTTGTGTAACTTATGTACTGTACCGGCTCACCCCTTGATTTGCTGAATACGATCCACACACGGGCAGTTAGTCTATGTGGACGGCCAAACGCAAGGCTAAAAGAGGCCGCCAACCTCTTAAAGAAATAAATAAAATATTCTATTGTTTAATGAGCTGAGACAATCTATTAGTACATAATGGTCAATTTATAAGTGTTCATACAACGTTGAATAAACACTATGTGGTATTACTTTACACACCGTGTCCGCATACTAACACAAGAACAATGTCGTACATTGTTGTAATTGAGTAGATTAATGAAGACGTCACATCCAAGGGTAACACCTGAGGACGACATGTCCCTGTAGCAAATGTCCTGCTTATTAGGTTTTGCTTGTTTTGTGTTTAAGGACAAAGAGTAAAAAGTTTACTGTTTTGCTTGGCTAAGCAAAAGAGTAAAAAAATAACTACTGAGGATGGAAAATTTATAAATAGTTATAAAACGCTAATTTTGAAGCCACGCCTAAGTCTTGATTGTAGCTTAAAGAGTTCTATTGATTAGATTTTTTAATGCTTAGTATGATTGATGTTATATATTAGTCTTAAAGGAGTTTTGAAAGTTGATAAAACTTTCAAATACTGATTATAAAGACATTTACCATATTATCATCAGGTTTTACAATTTCATTTAAAATGTTACAAAAAATGTCAATGTATTTTAGATTTATTTTTGAAACTGTGTACACTAATATTTTACTTAAATTATAAAATATATGAGACTACATTTTCTTTAAAAAAATGCTCTGAAGCAAAAATGTATTATTTTTTACCAGACTTACTACTTGCGACAGTATAAATGTGCTCCAAGCTACAAAGAGTTTGAATAGTTCACTAACATTAAACAACAGCCTGCTGGAGACGGAAACTTCATTCGTTACAAACTCGATTAGACTTACAATGCTCCAAGAAACCGTAGCGTAAGCTTAAACTAAACAGTTTAAGGTCTAGACGACTTCATTTTCACACTGCATTAGTGTCGCCGTTAGCTCTCCATTTCTAACACATATATTATTGAAAAATGTATGTAATGTTTGATGTCATTTTAGTTAAAATAATTTTTAGCCTAAGAGATTTTTTTTTATTTTAGTTTTCAAAGCAATTTTTTTTAAGACCTACTAAGTTTCATAATACATATTAATTTGTATTCTGTTTGTAATATTTTTATTACTCTTACTTATTACAAGAAAACTATCCTCCATAATTGTTGTTATCTTGCACAACCAAGTCACAATAAAATTAAGACCCAAGCCATACATGCTGAAATGTTTTGTCGAGCATAGAGTCTTTTATACATTCTAACATAGATAAAAAAAATTAGCTTGAGCTAGCTAAAACATATAAAATTTTTCTTTTAATAAATTATACCTCTTTATTAACTGCCATGACTTGAAAAATGATGTTTATCTTGGTTTAAAAACTAAAACACTTTAAACGTATTCTAAATGCAGCTAACATTTTTATTTTAAGGTTTCCTAAAATAACTCCTGTTCTGCTAGCTAACATAATTTATCTACTCATTAAATATAATATTCTAATTACTGCAATAGTTTTTTATTCAAACTGTTACACATTGTATAAACATACATCTATGTAACCTCATGTTTTAGTTTTATAATGAACTACAAGGTACAGTATAGTAAATCAAAATATAGTCAATTACTTTAATACGGTAATGTAAATCACTCAATAAGCGTATTTTAACATTATCAAGGCACTTACTCCCGCAATGAAAGTACAATGCAGAGGTGACATGGTGATAGGAGATTAGTAAACAAAGGATATCCTGTGATTAGAGGTGGAAATTGAGTTTACAACTACACACGACTTATGAAGAGTTTATGGCTGATTTGGTAATAAGGGGATTATAAAGGCTATAGGTAGAAGGGAATAGTTAAAACACAGTTGTTGCTTGCAAGGAAAATTATGGAAAATAATAAAGAACTGTTCTCTAACCTTAGATTGAGTTTTACACTACTCCAGTCTAGGCCTAAACTAATGCTTCCGGCTTTACCATTTGTACGAAGATGATTCCTTGAAACATCAAGTAGGTTTTTGGTAAGTGTTTGGTAAATATCCATGAACCTATACATGGGAAAGGCAAAATCTTTTACAGTAATTATATTCCTATGTAACTTAGTAAAAGTATTTGCAATGTTATAAATATTTATATTAACCTAAGACCTATAAATATAACTATTCTTTTCTTTAACTATTATGTATACCAAAGTAGCATTATAAAGTGTTTGGTCTAAAGAATTCGTTTTCAAATAATTGAAGTAAACATTCTGTAGATTTTTTTGTAAATTGAAATGTATGCATAATCTTAAATTTAAATTTATAAGGCATTTGGAGATGAGTAATATTGTTAATCCCCTACAGTTAAATGCTTTATTTTACGAATCAAACCGAGGTTAAATGACAAAAATGAAAATGGGGTAAATATTTTTCTTAAGCCTCTCCTACATAAAAAGATAATAAATAACTGCATTGCGGCACATTTCCCCTTATATTTTTCCATAGTAAAGACCCAAAACCCTCTAAAATATGCGGTGCAAAGGAATTTGTTCAT